TGTGTGTGTGTGTGTGTGTGTGTGTGTGTGTGTGTGTGTGTGTGTGTGTGTGTGTTAAATACTATAATTGAGGATTAAAAATTAAAAACCATTAACATAAACTGAAAAATGAATTAATTAAAAAAAATTTAGCAGCTTTTACATCCCCGTTGAACAAGTCCGTGAAATATCAAATTGGAATTTAGAAGATGGTGTTTAACAGTTAAAGTTCGTGGCGAGAAAAAAGTTGATTTTTTTTTTCAAATCACAGGAGAAAACTGATCAACAAGCAACCCTACCCACTTAAACTAAACCCATGTCCACAGATTATAACAAGCATTGTCAATTGTTTTGCTTTCTAATAACTAAGGTTAATCTCTATTCATTGTATTTTAGTCCTACTTTTTCGTTATTAGGTTAGCAGCTATTTATCAAAAAAAGTTCTTAAAATTCTACCATGATATATAATAAGTTATTAATAGAGTTTTGATTCTTATCGGTAAACAAAGATGTCGAACATGACAAATATTCGGCAGGAAAATTAGTACAACTTATTGAATAAAGTCGGAACTGTTTAAACTTTGGGGTTTTTTCTCGGTGTACTAGTTTCCTCCCTTCACAGGTGAAATTCGAGCAAGTGAGTTGTGTTTCTCGCCGTAGCAAAACTACTGAGAAATATAGATTAGTTTTTATTCTAAATTATATATTGGGATGTCAGGACGGCCTCTCAGGTCCTGAGGTGCGGGTTTGAATCCCATGCCAGTTGTCGAATGTAAGCTGATTTCTGACAGCATAACTAATTCAAACCGGTTAGAGCTATACGCTCCAGGGTAGTATATGGAATGTATAGCAGATGCRGAGGCGCCTTAACATGCTTTTCAGTTCGAGCCCGTGGAGCCGCTGCGCCACTGCGGTACTTGCGGTGGTGACTAGCGATTTTTTTTTTCATGAACAATATCGTACTACAATATAACAAACACTTCAGTTTAAAAACTATGGGTTAAAACTGAACTTATGAGATTTGGCTGAAATCCAGATGTTGATACCGGGGAATAGGAAGTATTAAAGAAAGCTCTCTTGGTATATTCTGTAAAATATTGTAGATTAAAAAAACGCACACACAGCTAAGTAAAAGAATATGAGAAGAACAAAAGAACTGAAACAGGTGGAAAGAGGGAATTAAAAGAAGACGTGGAGGAGTAACAGGTGCAACAAGAAGAGAAAGAGGAAAAAGGCACGAAGATGAACAACAACAACAAACAAAAAGAATAAAACAAGTAACCAAAAAGATAACTAAAAAGAAAAACGGATTATAGCAAAATCAGTTATAAATGCGAAAGTAGATATACAAAAATAATACTATTGTGAAACTCTCTGTTCTTTTTACTGTCCCTTACACCGTAAAAGAAAATAAACTGTCTTTAACATGACTAATTGTTGTCGGGTAACACAAAGTAATGATTAAAAATGAAAAAAAAAAGCATATATAAAAGAACAAATACACATTAATTTGAATACGAATTTCATTATTTACGTTTGCTAGTAGAAAAATCGTTGCTATATTTACTCAAACATTTATATTTAATTAAGATCTAGAAAAACGGTCGATTTGACGCTATCTTGGGCAATTCAATCTTAAAATACTCTTCAACAAGCTCGTCTTGCGGGGATAGATCAGTGTTTTTTAAGATTACTTTTTTGAGAAGAATTTAGGAGTAGTCATTGAGTGAATGATCTTACCTTTAGCGTTCCTTCCTCCTTGTCGCTTGGCTGCTTCGGTTTCAATTATTTTATGCTGTTTCCTAGCAATAGCTAAGACTTTTAAACTCGAGCAAGCCATGAATATGAATGGTGCAACGATGTTGAGGATCATTGATATTACACCGAACCACAACGGTGTTTTGTCCCAAGACACACCACAATCCAAACTCACTTTATCAAATTCAATTTTCACTAAAGAGGCAGCAAGAACTGCGAAAAAGACAGAGTGCAACCAGGTGTAACAAATCATGTAGATAATAGTTCTAGATGTTATTCTGGCCTTGTATCGTAGGGGATCCATCATCGCGATATAACGATCCGCTGCTAACATTACCACAGTCAAAGTTGAGGCTATGAGAATAGGATATGTAATCGCGCCACCAATCCAGCAAACCACTCCATTAGAACTAACTATGTCCAAATTAATCACCGTTGCCAAATGGTATGGCATTATCACCGAAGAACTGAGAATGTCTGCTATTGCAAGATTGAGCAGAAGAAAGTTAGAGTTGGTTCGACGTATTCGTTCGAATTTGATAGTCGCAATGATAACGAAAGCGTTTCCAATGACCCCACATATAATAATAAGTCCGAGAATGAGAGCCAATGCGATTCTTTCTTCCAGAGATCTTTCCTCCATTTTTGGTTTGATTCTCTTTCACAGATGTTTGTTATATTTTCGTGTTAATAGCGATCTACGTCATTGACACTAAGGTCGTGTTCAGTTTGTTTGAAATCTGACAAAATTTGTCTCTGTATTTAGTGACGCTTGGCCGCCCGAATTGAGACTTAACACTAGTATCCGAGAATTCAAGTCAGTTACGATTTCGTGTTTTGATCGAGGAGATAGCAGTAAAAGAAAGGTTGTCCCTCTAACACTTTCTTTTTCCGGCCTTCTTTCAAGAGTCTCTGACAGCTGGGAGAAGTCTTACATTGCTCCTTACCGGCTAAAAGTGTTTACACTTCTGACAACCTTGCCAACTGAAAGAAATGAAGTTAGGTCATTGAGCTCACAACTCGTATTAAATCTATTGATGATTAATCGGTTTTTTCAGTGCACTTCATTATAATTTAATTTATGACGGTAACGGCAAAAAAGAAAATACATTTGTAGGCATATACTTATTCCTGTGCTACAATGTCAAATGTGCTAAATACGACAGTTCCTGAATCTGAACAACGGATTACTATACTCACCTTACTCAACCTTATATAAAGTTACAGTAATGATGAAAAGGTAAATTATACACCGTGAAAAGATGAAAAAACTTACTGACGTTTCGGACGCTAGTCCTTCGTCGGAGTAAAATTTGCTCTTTTACTCCGACGAAGGACTAGCGTCCGAAACGTCAGTAAGTTTTTTCATCTTTTCACGGTGTATAATTTACCTTTTC